TGGTTGAAAAAGTATGCACACTTTAATAGTTTTTTTGGCCATAGTTCCAAATTGATCTCCAGAATGATTGGACTAGCTCACAGCTCCACCAACAGTGCATTAATGTACTTGTCTTTCCGCATCTCCTCTAGAATGTCAATTTCCATCTTTGTCATCTTAGCCGACTTAACGGATATGAGGTGGTACTTTAGTATTGTTCTAATTTTCATTTTTCTAATTATTAGTGATTTGGATCATTTTTTCTTCTGGCTATTGAAAGACTGCATTTCTTCCTCTGAAAACTGCTTTTTCACATCCTTTGACCATTTATCAAATGGAGCATGGAGCTTATTCTTCTATATTTGACTCTCCATATTTCCCCAGTTTCCTACCTCTAATTTTTGGTGCACTGGTTTTGTTTGTGGAAAAAAACTTTTTAATTTCACATAATCAAAATTATTTGTTTTACCTCCAGTGAGTCTCCCAGTCTCATCTGGTCAAGAACTCTTTCCCTATCCATGGATCTCACAGGTAATTTATTCCATGCTCCACTAACTTGCTAATGGTGTCACCCTTAATGTCTAAATCATGTATACATTTTGAGCTTATGTTGGTATATACTACGTGGATGTTCATCTACATCTAGTTTCTGCCAACAATTTTCCAGTTTTCCAAATAGTTCTTGTTGAATAATGAGTCCTAGTCCCAATAGCTGAGATTTGTAGGTTTATCAAACACTGGATTATTGTGCTCATTTGCTTCAGCATATTCTATACATCGATATGTTCCAGTCATCAACTTCTCCACTTCTTATCTAGTACCAAATTGTTTTGAAGATAATATCTTTCTAATATAGTCTGAGATATGATACTGTTAAGGCCACCATCTTTCCCATTTTTTTAATTGATTCCCTTGATATTCTTGACCTTTTCATTCCTCCTGATGAATTTTGTATTTGTTTTTTTCTAATTCTATAAACTAACAGCTCTACAAAATAATACTTTCATAGTTTGGTATGGCACTAAGTATTAATTCAGGTAGTATTGTCTCTGTATTTTGTTTATATTTTATTTTCCTATTCTACCTAATACCCTTCATGTGGATTTTCATAAAAAAAAAAGTAATAGTTCTTTTTTTTGTTTGTTTGCTTGTTTGTTTTACTATTTATTATAGGCAGGTAGGTGGCACAAGTGGATAGAGCACCAGGGCTGGATTCAGGAAGACTCATCTTTGTGATTTCAAATCCAGCCTCAGATACTTGCTTAGATATGTGACCCTGGGCAAGTCACTTAACCCTTTTTGCCTCAGTTCCTCACCTGTAAAATGAGCTGGAGAAGGAAATGACAAACTACTCCTGTATCTGTACCAAGGAAACCCTAAATGGGGTCATTAAGAGTGGGACATGACTGAACAACAACTAAGTTTTGGCTTTTTGGGGATTGTTTTGCCTTTAAAGCTTGAACCATTCTATATAAAATTACCCTGACTCCAGTTATAAATACATTTCTCAAGTCCCCCAAAATCCAGGCCTTTCTCCATTTGATCTGTAGTATTGGAAGGCAAAAATATCTTACCCTTGATGTTGTCCCTATAAAATTTATTGCTTTCTTCCACAGTGCTAAAACCAGCGTATTGGCGGATGGTCCATGGTCTGAAGGTATACATGGTGGGATACGGCCCACGAGTAAATGGTTTCATTCCTGGTAACTCTTCAGGTAGTTCCTTGGTATCCTTGCTAGAATACAAAGGCTTTATGGAGACTCCTTCTGGGGTTTTCCATATCAAATCTTCTGGGTTCTTGCCTTTCAGCTGCTTTTTAGCCAAGGCAACCCACCCTGGATGTAGGGGGAGTTGCTGATAAAGAAGGCGTTGACATGTATGCCTCAGAAACTTAGACTCTTTTAGGTGCTTCAGGTGATATGGAGGGAACAAGAGAAGACCAATTTTACCCCTTAGCATGACTGTGGAAGTCAGCAGGAATAAGGGATGACCTGAGAAACAAAAGAAAAATGCTGCAAGTAAATCTCCAAGGAAGAATAGAGATTTCATGAGAATTTGGTGAAAAGGATGGATGAGGAAAATGCAGGAAAAGTTCAATTTCACATTTTGTACCCTGGAATTGACCATTTTCTCATTTCCACCCCCATCCCCTTATTAAGCATCCATGTTCAAGAAACTATCCTTAGGGTTCCTTGCAAATCTTTTCCTAATAAAATGACTGGAGGTACTATGCCTTCCCATTTCTAAGCATGATCTTTTATATAGTAAAAACACATAATACTAATGCCATACAGTGGAAAGAGCAATGGATCTAGTGTCAGAAGACCTAGTTCAAATCCTGGCTATGATACTTTCTAACTTTGACCTTAGTGACTTAAAAAAGAAAGCGATATTAGATTTGGAACCGTTGGCCCTAGGTTTTGAATCTTGGCTTGACCAGCCTTTCCAATGGGCCCTTGCCAAAGTAATTGAACCTCTTTGTATATTTCTTCCTCATCTCCTCAATGGTTATCTTCAAGATTCCTTCCAGCTTTAAAATCCTATGATTATACGCTATTTTTATTCTAAATCTACTATTGCATTTTAGTTATCTGTTCATTTACTTTCTTTTCTTCTCATTTTGTCTGTTTTAGATTATAAATGATAAAATAATAGATCAATTTGATGTTAGATTCTGAATAATTTTATTTTTTATATTTATACTTTTAAGTATAGTTCACCTAAAGAACTAAATATTTTATTAATCAGTACAATAGGGGCTATCAGAAGAAAATACTTAAATATTTCATAGATCTGTAACCTAATTTTTATGGATTCTTTATCTACAGCAGGGATTCATAACTTTTTCTGAGTAATGCATCCCTCTGGCAGTCTAGTAAAGTCTACAGACCCCTTCTCAGATAATGTTTTGAATATGTAAAATAAAATACATAGGATTACAAAGCAAAGCACTGATTAATGATTGACATGGAGATAATCACAAGTTGATTTCTGACTCATAATGCTATATTTTTCCTTTGTGCAGCTATTTTGGCTATATGCTAGAACCACTTTTACTTCCCAGCCATTAGTAACTTGAATTGCATTGGTTTATATTTTACTTAATTGTTTCTTGAAGCTTCTCTTTGACTCCATGTCTTAAATACTGAAATCATTTGGTGAATCATTATTCATTAAATCATTAAATATTTTTTTATTTTATTATTAATCATTAAATCATTAAAATATTTTTTAAGAAACAAGTTCATGGACTGCAGGTTAAAAACCAACACTCTATGGACAAATATTATAATTTTCCATTCCTTTTTGTTGAAAAACAATGTAAAAATAATAACTAGCATGTATATAGTACTTTAAGGCTTACCCTGTGCTTTATAAATATAATCTCATTTTATTCTCACAACCCAAAAAAAACTCATTGTCATATGGTCAACTTGATCATGGCCCATTCTCTAACAAGATAACTAGGCTGGTCCTAGGATACAATTTGTCACTGCACTAATACTGTATTTTAAAAGATGTTTTTATAAAACTTGACTATGCTTTATGGTAATAGTCATCTTTATTTACCAGCTGGATGAAATGAAGTAAAGAGAGGTCAGAATACATTCTCCAACTTATAATAATAATAATAACAACAACAACAATAATAACATTTATATAACACTATATGACAGAAATGTGTTAAGCACTTTACAATTTAGCTCATTTAGGCCTCACAACAATCTTAGGAGGGTTATTATTAAACCCCATTTTACAGTTGAGGAAACTGAGGCATAGAGTGGTTAAGTAAGTGACCTGCATGCACTCTACAGCTAAGTGTCTGAGACTGAATTTGCATTCATGTCTTTCTGACTCCAGGCCTAGTACCTCTACTGCGCCACACTGCTATACCTAAGAGGCTTTTCCATCTTCAAGTCTTTCTGAAAGCTATAGCCCCTATTCTATAGTTTTGTAAATAAGAAAATAAACATAAAAAAATCCAAAAATAAAATCTTTTGTGTGATAATACTACATCAGTTATTCTAAAAACTGCCTGAGAAGTCTATATTATCACAAAGGATTAAAAAAAACCATACATTTTATTGGGATACATTTATGACCTTCTAAACTTGGGGAAAACTTTGTCAGTAAGTTGAAGAGTCAATTTTCATGTAAGGGCATTTCAACAATTTTTCATGTGAATAAGAAATTTCTAATGCTTTATTTCAGTATTTAAGACATGGAGGCAAAGGGAAGCTTCAAGAAACAATTAAGTAAAATATAAACCAATACAATTCAAGTTATTAATGGGTAGGAAGTAAACGCGGTTCTAGCATATAGCCAGAAGAGTTGCACAGAGAAACAAAAAATATAGCTAGCTAGCATTATGAACCACAAATCAACTTGTGATTATCTACATGTCAATCATTCGAAGCAAAACTCTGATCCCTTGCTACTTTCGTTCTGCCACTCAGCAGGTTTATGATTAAAATAATCATTTTAAGGAAAGCAAAACCAATTAGGCATGTAAACACGTTGTAGAAAATTTATTTAAAAGACTAAATATAAATATTATGCTTGCTATCTACTGTTTGGGATTGTCTATTCTATCATTCTCTCTCTATAACCTCTTTGCCTCCTATTACCATAGATAAATGGTTCTAAACCAGGGATCTTATAAACTTGGTGGTGATGCTAGTTGTTTTTAAATTTTTGAGGAGTGTATTTTAATGTAATTGGTTTCCTTTATAGTTCTATGCTTTTTATTTTATGCATTAAAAACATTATTCTGAGATTTCACTATACTCCCAAAGGGGCCCAGTAAACATAAAAGATAAAATCTGCTTGATAATCAAAAGTTGGCTAAATTACAATAACTGGTGCAGCAAGAGCCTTAGGGCAGGTCACCACCTGTAATTTTCAGCGGATGCCCCTACACACTGGAAGTAATGTTGTGGGGGGAGAGGTGATACCTTTAACAAACAGCACTCACAGAAACTTCTTCGTGCATGAGGTCCTGTACGTACCTATGTCGAAATACCGCATTAAGTCATTTGAGGGAAAGGGTGGGGGATTAAGGAGATTTGGACAAAACAACGGGTCAAGCTCAGGATGCACAATGATCCTTGTCTTCTGTTGCATCTGAGGATGAACGAACAAGCCTGGACCTTTCCTGGTAAGGGGAGGGGGAGGAGTAAAGGGAAGGGGAGATAAGGGGGGAGAAGGAGGGAGCAAGGAAGGGAAGGGGGGAGAAAGGGGAGTCATGGGAAAAGGGGAGAGAATCAAGATGGTCGTGTACTCACTTACCGGTACCTATTTATGGGCCCTTTTGGCCTTTCCCCGAGTGGAGTTAGAGTGAGACGCCTAACCCTTAATCTCAACCCAGCAGGACCCAGGCCTGACCACCCCCTGGTCGCCTCGGCCCTCGGCCCTCGGACCAAGCACAGTACAGTTACCCCCAGAAAAATGCCCTCTGCGCATGCGTAGGCGGGTTGGCTGACACTGGGCGTACAGGGGGAGGAGGCCGGGAGAACCCATACAGCCACGGGGGCGTGGCCGCCCAGCCAATCTAGAAACGTTCCTCTCCGACTCCCTCCCAGTGGCGAATAGCTTGGGGGACTCACGGTGGGGGGGCGGGGGGGTACAAACCGGAAGACGACCTTGTCTCCGCCCACTTCCTGTTATTATTATTTTGACAGTTTGCTCGGGAGTCGTGACCCACCCCTGGTGGCTTTGTGCGGAGTGCGCGTGCGCCGGCGGAAAACCATTGGAGACCGGTGGAAGGAGGGCGTCGGCTTGTCCCCAGGTAAGTGATTGATCCGAGCGTCCGGGACTCTGGAGCCGGAAGGAGAGGGGGAGGGTAACGTTTGGAGAAGCGGAGCGCGCTGGTTAACCAGGGCGGCCCCTCTCGGCGTGCTGCGCGCCTGCAAAGGGCTTTTTAGGGGTGACCGGATATTTGTGGAAACGAAGCCCTTTTTGTTAGGGAGGAAAGTGGAGGCGGTAGGTGGTGCGCGCCCAGCGGTGGTGCACAGGGTGCCTTCCCATGATCCCGATTTTGTATGTAGATATAACGACTTAGAATATTACCTATAAAGGGTGTCTAACTATTAAAGCTTGGTCAACAAAGCTATTAAGTTTAAAACTTCACTAAGACTTTGGGAACACCCTCTATAGTGTCGTATTTGCTTATATATGTAGCAAGCTGGTTTGCTCGGGGGTAGTGTTGAACTTGGTGTCAGGAAGACTTGAGCTGGAATCTTCCCTCAGAAGCTTATTATCTGTGTGACCCTGGGCAAGTCACTTAACTTCTACCTCAGTTTCCTCATCTGTAAAATAGGAATGCTATTCAGTTGTAAGGATCAAAAGACTATATTTGAAACACTGCAAAATCTTAAAGCTCAATATTAGTGCTAGCAATTAATTAGTAAACATTTATTAAGCACCTGCTGTGTGCCACAAGCTATGTGGGGCAGCTAGGTGGTGAAGTGGTTACAGTGCCGGACCTGGAGGCAGGAAGACAGCTTTCAGAGTTCAGATCTGGCCTCAGACACTTACTAGCCGTGTGATCCTGGGTAAGTCACTTAACACCGCTTGTTTCAGTTTCTCATTTGTAAAATGAGCTAGAGAAGGAAATGGCAAACTGCCCCAGTATTTTTTCCAAGAAAACCCCAAATGGGGTCACAAAGACTCGGACATGATAAAAAATGACTGAAAAAACACTATGTCCCATGTACTGAGCTAAGCCCTGCGGATACAAAAAGAGCAAAAGACAGTCCCTGCCTTCCAGAAGCTTACAATCTATTATTATTTGCACTTATTCTCTCCCTCCAATGTAAGTTCCATGAGGTAAAGGAAAGCCTTTTTTTCTGTGTAAACTCACTACCTAACAGTTTAATGAAGCCTTGTTGATTGATTGATTAAGGGAATCTACTATATGAGCTTTCCTCTCACTTCTCCTATCCCCCTCAACTATCTCCTACCCCCCCCATACTTCCATATAAACTTGTCACCTATAGTAGGGGTTTAAAAAATGCTAGTTGATTGATTATTGGCCTTTAAAATTCTTCACAATCTGCCCCTAGTCTAAGTTTTTATACCGATTTTGAGATATTTCCTGTCAACCACTCTTATGTTCCAGCCAATGTAAATTAAAGATCAAGTTACAAAGATTTTGAAAGTATTTTTTAATCTGGTATTACCACTAAAAAAGCAGCTTGACAGTGGGCCAAGATACCTGTAATAGAGGGAGCATCTTAAAAGTTAGGATATTTCAATATTACTATAAGCAAAGCTCTTTATTGGGTAGTTAAGAGGAACACACCCAAGTCAGGATCCTTGCCATCCAAGAGCTTATAGTTTATTTGGTAAGATTAGTCATTTATGGGGCAGCTAGGTGGCGCAGTAGATGGAGCACCAGCCCTGAAGTCAGGAGGACCTGAGTTCAAATGCGGCCTCAAACCAAACACTTGACACTTACCAGCTGTGTGACCCTGGGCAAGTCACTTAACCCCAATTGCCTAAAAAGAAAAAAAAAGATGAGTCATTTATGGGGAAAAACAGTGCCATCATATAATGTAAAAAAAAGATCTGTTAGGTTCAAAACATGGACTGCTCAAGTATAGGATGGGGTCAGAAGAGACTGGGACAGGTGGAGATAGATATATAGATATATATACACACAGAGAGAGAGAGACAGTTTGGAAAAAAAAAAAGCAATTCCAGGGTTTAGGTTGGACCTCGAGCCTGACATTATTTATAATAATCTAAATCCAACAATTGTTCATTATGAGTCTGCTATATACAAAGGTGTGTTCTAGGTGCTGGGCATCTATACCGGAAAAAAGAGGAAAAATAGTTCCTGCCCTTAATTGGGACCTTTGTTGTTGTTGTTGTTGTTCAGTCATTGTCAGTCATGTCTGTCTCTTGAAGACCCCATTTAGGGTTTTCTTGGCAGAGATACTGGAGCTCTTTGCATTTGCTTCTCCAGCAATTAGGACCTTATTGGTCCCAGTTCTTAACTACATCTATGTCCTCCATTGGTCATTTCATGAACTCTCATGGATTCAGTTATAATTTTAATGAAGATTACCTTCAGCTAGTATACTCTAGTCCAGTGGTTCTCAAAGGTTATATTAGCACCTGGTGTGCCATGAATTGTAGAAAACTTAACAATCACAATTACATTCACAGTGTCTCAACTCTTCCTTAATGCAAGAGTTTTGAATTGTTATTTTTTAATGTCATGGGCCCTTTTGGGCCCTTGTGAAACCCATGAGCACCTTCTTAGAATTTTTGAAGTCATAGAACAAATACATGGGATTACAATGGAAACTAATTATATTGAAATACAATTATCAAAATATTTAATATTTTGAAAAACTGTTCATAGGCCCCCAGGTTAAGAACCCCCTAAGTGTTTAATATTGTACAAGGAGCAAAGAATTGGAGAACCATTGCTCCAGGCCTGTATCTCCAGAATTGCTAAAGTTCCTAGACATCAAAAATTTAACAAGTTCTAATCAGAATTCATTATCTTCACCCCCCCCAAAAAAAACCAGTACTGTTACAGCTAAAAAACCCCATTACCTTTATAATATAATGTCCACAAAAAAATGTAGTGTAAAGGTAACCCAGGAGTCTCAAAAACTGAGCTAGTAAAGCATAAGCTCTCAGCTAGTCTACTATGCTAGAAATACTTGTAGTCTTGTCTTGGCAACAAGTTGTACTATGCAAGAACCAACCTGATAAGACCATCATCTAATAGATTGGCAGTGAGTTCTTTGGTTATGGTAACCATGAAACAAAGAAAAGTAGAAAATGGCCCTTTAATCCTGTGTAACCCCTTTCTGCTTGAACAACGATGGTGATAGAGTGGCACAGAAAGAAACAGTATTAAGATTCTTGGTTTTTAGATCACTTTAAAGCATTAACTATTAGTACTCTAAATTTGAGATTTTTTTACAGTGATTAACAAATTGACATACTATTGGAGCTGAATCAGTATTGATATTTGCCTCCATTTTGCGCCCTACATTATGCACTTTAGAAATAGCAGAAGGCTGAGGTCAACATGAGAGGGATCGGAAGGTTAATGGGAGGTACCTATGAAGGGCATTGACCAAGGTCCCTGGTGTCTTTTGCTGCTGTTACTTATGTTTTCTGCTTGCTTACCTCTAAACCCATATTCTGAGCCCTGCACCCCAGTCAGGAGCTGGGGACTGGCATCAAAGCCAAGTCATCCCAGCAACTATTGTAAACTAGCAGAATCTCTGCTTTGCAGTGATTAGGCAAACTGCTCAACCTCTCAATATTTGGAAGTTCTCTTCCCCTTTCTTTGTCCTTGCCAACAGAAGAAATGAACAAGCAAATAAATTTTTGTGATGAAGTGAAAAACTACTATCCTGTAAGCTAATTCAAGGATAAAACCCTAGGAAATAAGAATAATTCAGCAGTAACTGCCAGTAGAATCTCAGGAAAGAAAGAAGTGTCACAGAAATTCTGGAAATGACTAGATGACCTAATAAAGGAACTGACTGCAGAGACAAATAGTGGAATGGATTGCCTTGAAAAGAAGTTAGAGAAACCTTAAACAAAGTAGTGAGTGCTGTGGAGGAAGCAAGTAAAAACTAAATGATAACAACAGCAGAATAGTGAAGTCAAAATACAGCAAATTTGAGAAATGTCTACTGTCAAAGTAACTAACCTGGAGATCAGGGCAGAAAGAAAGTCTAAGAATCATCAGGTTTGAACCAAAAGATCTGAATACCAAATTTCAAGGAATCACAAAAGTCTCCAAAAGTATTAGAGTGGGGGCTTAGGAGGGTGGAGATAGTATCCACAGATCTCCACCACAAAGAACTGTTAGATAAAATATATCTGTAAACCTGTCAAGTTCTAGAGCTTCTAAGTCATAGAAAAAATGTTGCAGGAAGGCATAGGTCTTCAACCAAGGAAACTCAGTCAGAATTGTGTGGAACTACATATTAACCATGAGAAAGGAAAGCAAAGAGTGGTTATGACGTACTGAAAAGCAAAAGAAAGTAGTTAGCATCCAAGAATGACATACTGCAAAGTTGAGCATCATCCTATGTATGTTTATGTATGAAGGGGGAGAGTTAGAAAGAGGGTAGGAATATGGACTTTAACAGAATTAATGCTTTCTAAGCCTTCCTGTTGAAATATTAAGATCTGTACAGAGCTTTCAAAAAAGTAAATCCAGCATGCACACATTTAAGAGACATTAAAAAGTTTAAACATCTCTTTAAACAAAAGGGCTAAGTGACAATCGAGTATTTGCATCCCTAAAGAGAGAGAAGAGACTATACTTTCCCTTTGGTGTCCCATTGTCTGTAAGGGTTAAGGAGGGAAGGGAGAGAGAAATTTTTTTCTTAATAGTTCTTCTCCCTCGTCCAGAGCTTTGCTTTTCCTTTGTCTTCTTAACCCTATTGGGTGAGTTATTTGATGCGCCAAAATTTCAGGAGAAAGTAACCACTAGGTGGTGCGTGAAGTCTTTTCCTTTAAAAAAAAAAATTGAAGTGATTAAATTTACTTAGAGGACTTTCTCCATTGACTGTCTCTGAAACAACTCATTGAATGTTAAAGTACACTTTACTTTAGAATGCAATTGATGCTGGTTTAAAAGTGTGTCTTGAGGTAGAATTTGAGAAAGTCTTATCAAATACAATTATTTTTTAACACTAAATCCTAACTTTCATCCAGTGCAAGGGTCAGCAGCTATTTTATACCAATCTTCATTTACTCATTTCCTCACAAAGGGACAAAGAGTGGGTGCAGTGGATAGGTAATCTATAGCTCATATAATCCAGGCTTCCTGATACACCCACAGTAGACAATATGGACAGCAGGGGGAAAGTTAAGAAATACTGGTCCAAAAAGTAAGAAGTAGAACAAACCAGAGAAACAAGAAGAAATTCAGAAGAATGAACAGGGTAGTGGGAAAGCAAATGAGTTATCACTATTTTTATGGACCCCAACCCTTAGTAATGCTTCTTTATTCCATCTTGCTTCTCCTTCAGCACATATTTTTTTAAGCTGTAGACAGAAGTTTTCAGTTTGTCAGTTGAGAGACCTGCATTTTTTTTTTATGTTCACTCTGATAGTGACTAGCTTTGGGACCATAGGCCAGACATTTAAATTCTCCATGATTCTTTGTTAAAAAATAGGCATAATAATGATAGCTCCACATGTAATATATGTAGTTGTTAGGTTAAAATGAAAGACATATGAAAATACTTTTGAAAAAGTAAAATACTATACAAATGCTAAGATTTTTAGAAGTAAAAATATAATAAATTCTCATCTAGATGAGTCCCTAATGACTTTACAATTGTTTTACTATAACTTTTTTAGGATAATGAAGAACCTAAAAGTAAAATAGGCTTATTTGTAATATTAACTGGTACTTGGTATAGTTGAACCAATTAAAGTTGCGTGACATTTTTAGAATCTTCCCCTTATCTTTGCTTTTTTCTCTACAGATCTTAAAGTACTAATTTGTTCCATATAAGTTACGATGCCTGGAAGAGCAGGTACAAATCGCACAACAGGAACCAAGTCAAAGCAGGAGAGCAAATCTCAACAGTGCAAAAAAACTGGAAAAAGGAAAGTTGATATTGGAGATACTAAGGAATCAGAGAAAGAGGTATTGACAATATCCTACTTAACCATTTAGGGGAAAAAATGGGATAAAATTATGTTTTCTGCTTTCTTAGCATTCCCTGTGAAATAGAAGAAAGGAATGTTTAGAGACAAAACCAGTTTGGTAATAGGATTGAAAAACGAAAAAAATGCTAAAACTATAAGTAATAAAATTTTAGAATTGAAAAGTGTTTTCAAACTCATCTGTTGTCCCAGTCCTTTTAATTTAGAAGTGTAGAAGCTAAGGACCAGAGACATTAAATGGCTTGTCCACAGTAAAAATACATAATGACAGAGCCACAACTAGAACCCAGATCTAACTTTAAACTGGGTCATCTTTGCATTATATTACACTTCTCCCATCCGACATTGAGGTTTATGTAGAAAAGGAGATTGTTGCCCAATAATAACTATCTAAGCTAACAAGCATTTATCAAGCATCTACTTTATGTCAGACATTATGTCATATACCAGGGATATAGATACCCAAATGAAACAGGCCTTGCCCTCTAGGAGCTTACATTCTAAATGGGGAGAAAACATGTATACATATAGGTGCATACAGAATATATACAAAATAAATACAAGACAGTTTTGGGAGGGGGGGCACTAATAGCTGGTGGGGGGAAGGTAGGGGAAGGTGATGTTGACCGTGAAAGGCCTGACGTAGAACTAAGTTTTAAAGGAGACTGAGAATTCGAAGAGTTAAAAAAAAAGTACATCCTAGGCACAGGGGACACTCAATGCAAAGGTACAGAGATGGGAGATGGGTCTCTTATGTGAAGAATAGCAAGTAGGCTAGTATGACTAAACCTTTGACTATATGGAGGAGAATAATAAAACTGTAGGAAAAATGGGAAGAGGCAGGGTCATGGTTGTGAAAAATTTTGAATACTAAAAAGAATAGTTTATATTTGATTCTAAAGGTAATAGGAAATCCCAGAAGTTAACAGGATATTTGGTGATATCACTATTAATAGCCTTCTTGTCTCCACAAAACTTCTGTCCCTTAATTTTTTTTTAAAGCTCCTTTGTGACAAATAAGCATAACCAAGCAAAATAAATCCACACAGTTGTTATGGCCAAAATGTGTGTCTCATTCTATAGCTTGCATCTATAATCTCCTTGTCAAGAAATCTTTTTCAGATAATCTTTTTTTTTTCCAGATGAGGCTCCCCAGACTATATTTGTGAAGCTAATTTTTTTACCCAAATATCATACTTAACCACTTAGAAGTTTCATTTATTAGATGCAGCCCATCATTCTAATTTGCTGACATATTTTGAGATCCTGGCTGTGTCAATCAAACATGTTAATTATCCATTAAAACATAATGTTATTGGCAAATTTGATAAGTCTTTCTTCATCGCTGTCATTGATAAAAATGATTAGCATTAGGTCTCTCTACAAGAGACCTCCCTCCAAGTTTATGTTGATCTGTTAAAGATTGTTTTGAGGTTCCAATCAATGAGTTCTATCTATCTATATCAGTTCTGTTCAGTGATTATCACTCCTAACTATTGTCAACTAGTGCAGAGAGACTTCGTCAGAAGTTTTAACATTTTGTTAAGATGTAAGTGCAATAGGCCCACACCAGCTTTCCATGATCTACCAGTATTTGTAACCCTATCAAAAAAGGAAAGGAAGGTTGTATGACATGACATGTTTTTGATACAGCCATGTGAGTTCCTCCTGATCACCACATTCTATGCACATGTAAGTCACTTCTTAAATAATACAAACTATTCCCAGAATAAAAGTCAAGATCACTAGCCTAGGGTTGGCAGACTCCACCCTCTTCTCTCTCCTGAAATTCAGGTTATTTCTGTGATTTGAAGTAACTCCCACTTTCTCTGCAGTCCTTCACGGATACTCTGCCCATCGGCAGCAGTCACTTTCACCAGTTCCTTTAGCACCTCCTGGGGTATGTGTTCAGACTTAGTAAATTTAAACTCACTGAGGCCAGCTATAGAATCTTCTACTATGATCTCACTTATCTTGAGTTTCAACTCCCTATTAATTAACTTTATTACATCTTTCCCAATACAAAGATCACTCTTCTTGACAGAGAAAATAAGAATTTAATTATTGTGCTATCTCTCTTTTGTCTATTTCATTGTCTCATCTTTCCCCAGAAATGTCCTTCTTGCTTGAGTTTTCTGCTGTGTTCAACTTAGCTTAAAAAAAAAAAAATAAACCCATGTCCTTATTATTTATGGCCAGCCTCATCCCATTCTATGTTTTAGCCCTCCTGACTCTCTTCTCATGAAACTATGCCACTTGCCATTATCTGCCTTTGTTTCACTCTTCTATGTCTTTTAAAAAATTTCAGTTGGTAAATGAGCTTCCTAAAGAGACATCAGTCTATTTAGATAATTTTCTTATTCATCAAATTAATTTCTGTTTATATTTTCAGAATTTCATTCTTGAAAACTTCTTATCTTTTTAGATCACATGTGTCTGGAATTTTATACTATGGGATCATACCTGTCCTTTTCTTAGTTTTTGCAGATCTCTTCTTTCAGAATATGCCCAACTTCTTTGTCATTCTCTGTTATGAGTTTTTAAGATTGAATAATAACTTCTCACTGTCATTTCTACTTCAGCTATCATTTCCTTTTTCTTTGTCAGAATCAGTTCCAGAATAGCAAGTCTCTTCACAAGAGTCTGTTTTCTTCATCACTGTCCTTTTTTTTCTCTTCTGCCTTTGCCTTCTGAAATCACTGCTTTCATCTGACAGTAGTGATGATAACACTACCTCTCCAAATATCTTAACTAGCACTGGTTTTTAACTTCCTTCTGTTTCTCAGTGTCATCTGACCCATTCATGAACTTCCAGGGATGGGTAATGGTCTGTTCTCTAAGTCTTAGAAAGCTCCCCATCCCATTCTGAATACTTGGCTTCATCATGTTTGGAAATGATCTCACCCTCCCCAATCTTCACTTTTTCTGTTGAACCCTCTCTCCTATGCACTTACCACATTCTAATACCTAACATAGTTTACTTTTGTACATAACATAAACAATACAATCTAATAAGATTGTAGACTTCTTTAATGCAGGAACCATATCTAATTTTTATATCTTTGTTTCCCCAGTGCCTAGCATAGTGCATTACATATAATACACAAAAATAAATTTTTGCATTGATTTTAACTCTCCATTAAAAACAATACTTTTAAAAGTTGATCAATACTTTTCCTCTTATCTAACTAGAATGAGAGTATCAAGCTGCCAACATATTTAGGATATTGTTGGAAAATTGTTTCTCTGTCTAACATTTTTTTTGTTTAGGTAAGACATTCAAGCAAACAAATGAAGAAACAATCTGAGAAAACAGGACAGCCTTTGCAAGGTTAGTATGTTTCATCTCCCTTCTTATTTTTGCTTGATTGACTTTAAGTGCTGGATATATTGTAAAGGGATTCTCCCTATCTACATATAAAAGATAAAAATTACCATTTTGTAAATTTTATATAAAGTTAGACAGGATAATGTTCTCTTTGATTCTTAGTAGTAGTAGTAGTAGTCATAGTTGAAGGCGTAGTATCTATTGGAATCTTTATTACAACTTTTCTTCCTATTAAGGCAACTGTAAAGTTTCCCACATGAATATTAACATGCTTTAACTAAGTGCTAGAAATTTTACTGTAGCTCAAGTTTTACTCTGATATAAATTGTAAAAGATTGAATAGATTTTTTTTTTCTTTAATCCTTTTGAAGGAGTAGGCTAAAAGGTACCTAGAAATTATTAGTGGTAGTAATTGTTCTACTGATCCTGGGTCATGGTTGGTTCAGGGGGAAGAATGGAAAGCGAGCACGTGTCAGATATAGGCAACAAATTCAGTACCTTGCACTGATCTGGCTCCTTGCTTTTAGATCAAAAGCTTGGATGTGTGTAAAGGAATAGGGAGGGAGTATGGAAAGTGACAAGGTGGCAGAACAGTTATGTCTGCATCAGAACCATAATCTAGGTGGCAGTTAAATTATAGTTAGAATTTTCCTTCCAAAGTCAAATATCACTTTTTTTTTCTTTGTTCTTTTTTTGAGGAGGTTAAGGGGGAGGAAATTGGGGTTAAGTGACTTACCAGGGTCATAAAGCTAATAAGTGTCTAAAGACAGATTTGAGCTCAGGTCCTCTTGATTCCAAGGCCAGTGCTCTATCTACTGTACCACCGAGCTGCCCCCAAATATCACATTTTTAAAAATACATGTTTGGGTCATTGCCAAATAAACTGTGTGGGATTTTTTAAACAAAGTATGATAAAACAAAGTACTTTAGAATATACTACAATATAAGAATTTAAGAGAAGTAGTGTGGCATAATAGGTAGAAGGGTGATTACCTGATTACTTCTGACACGGAATAGCTATATGACTATGAGCAAGTAACTTCTTAGTGGCCCCAGATAACACTATAAGATTAAAAGTTGTAAATGAGCTGCTGATATAGACTGGTGGAAGGTTGAATCCACACCAAGAATTGCCCAGATAGTTAACATAGAACTAAAGATCAAAATCAAACCATTCTCTTCTCCAATTCCTGTCTTAAAGGAAACTTTTTTTTTTTTTGATGTATTGTGTGAGTTCTTCCTGGGTCCACTGACTAGCAGCTGCCGCTAAACTAACCACATACACAGAAACAGGATTACTGTAGTTTATTCACTCAGAGTGAGATACACTCCACAAGCAATTGATAGATATCTGTGTCCCTTACAATTTGGCTACTAACATTTATGTTACATGAGACAAAGAGAAAAAAAAAATTGCTGCTAATTACAGTGCACCTGGTTATAAAAAGAAAAATAGGAAGATATATATTACTAGTTACAAGAGCTAAGGAATGTCTTTGTTAGTACAGCTCGTTGCACTAGATCAAAGTGGGACCATATGTCACTTATGTGACAAGATAAAGAAGGGGAGTGGACATCTTTGGGCAGTTTAAGTGCTCTTTGACTATCATAGAAGCCTTTCTAAAGGAAGAGATTAAAAAATCTTGACAAATGTGGCTGTATTGTTGGGGTGAATGTTTAGATTCAAGGTGACTTATGTAAGGAAGAATGCATTTAAATATTATTCTGTATGTGTGTTTTTAGTCTCATTAATAATCCACAACTATATAGATACCTTTTCTATAATTCTTAATATATTGTGTATCCTTTGTGGGGGTGAGACAGAAAGTTCTAGATCTGTGATTCATTGAAGTGGGGAAATGCAAGTGTTATAACTCCCTCCACAGATTCAGGTTAGCCACTTTCTTAAAGTCTTAGAGACTTGTCTGAAGCACTGAGAGTTTAAATGACTTACTCATATTTACCTAGCTAATAGGTGTGAGAGGCAGAACTTGAATCTAGCAGAGTTTCTTGATTTCAGTGCAGGCTATCTACTACACAGATTGTCTCTCTTACTCATTTGTTGTTTTGTTGTTTAGTCATGTTTCAATCTGTCCAACCCTTATTAAACCCATTTGGAGTTTTCTTGGCAAAGATATTAGAGTGGTTTGCCATTTCCTTCTCTAGCTCTTTTTACAGATGAGGAAATTGAAGCAAACAGGGTTAAGTGACTTGCCCAGGGTCACACAATTCATAATCATCTGAGACTTCATTTGAACTCAGATCTTCCTGACTCCAGGCCCAGCTTTCTAACCACCCCATTTTACCTGTACTCATAGTAAACTGTCAGGATTCTACTTTCTCCCTGCTTAGTTAATACCTCAGCCATTTCATTTGGTTTTCTAGAAAGATACAAGTTTTGCTCTGCACTATTTCTTTACGTAATTTGAATTTATCTCACTAATTTGTCCTCTGAGTAATAAAGATTATACAATAAAAGATGTTAGTTGGCATATTGAAGGAATAAGGGCCTAGTGGTTCATTAAATATTTGGAGCAACTAAAAGTCAACTGCTCTAATTTAATGAGACACCCTAGAGAGACTGCTTGTCCTAGGTTCTTGGGACTAATTCCAATGGCTGAAGAGGTGATTATGTTCTCCTTCCCATCCCTCAACACTTAGCAGCAGGTGCTCTCCAAAGGAATAACTTTATGGAAAACTTTATGTCTACATCACTAAAAGGTGAAACCACTCATTTAAATTCTTTGAAGGATATCAATTATAGCTGGGTGGATCTCAGATTAAAAGCAAACAGATAGAGCACAAAAGCTGACCCCCTCAGGTACTTGTATATGACGAGCATGCTCTTTTAGGCTTGTAGAATTTCTGTTCTATATCGGCTTTCTCCAAATTAATACAAGTAACCTATATCTGTAGTTCACAAAATGGATTTTTGGCATCAGTGCAATCTAAAGCCATATTACCCTTGCCAATATACAGAAAGAACTCTGCTTCTGACATTTACTCACTACTTATGAGTAAGGGACTTGAAGTTTGTTTGTTTTAAGATTTAAGAGCTCTAATTGGGTGAGGTGCACATATCTATCTTTTCAGCACTATTTTCTGTATTTACTATTGGTTTTTGAGGCAACTTGACCTTAGCATACATTGCACACCCTCAGCAGCCTTGGATGAAGGCACCTGATTTCTGGGGGGAAAACTTATGAGGGAGTGGTTCTTATAATTAGCCTAAAAGTGATGTACAATCAAGGACATGGGGAGGTGGAGCTTATCTCAGGATGGGCATTCTGCTCAACTTGGCCAGTAATAAGTATCCTGAGAATGACCTTGACAGAAGCTACAGTTATCTTAAAATGAAAGTGGAAGGAGAAGGGAGGAGGACAAAGCTTTTTGCCGAAAAGAAAGAAAAAAAATTTTAGCATGGCAATTTACAAGACTACAAATAACTATGTTTCAAAAAGACCTATTACTATTAATGTATAAGCCAAAAGGATTACAGTAAATCATAATAAATATAAAAGTTTCTTCTACTAAAGACAAGCATCTACCAAAATGGGAGTTACACAAACGTTTTAGTGCACAGTAAGTAGTAGTAGTAATAATAATGATGATGACTCTCATGATGATAATAAAAAGAGCTTGATCCATCACTTAGCCTCACTTCTATAATTAAAAATTCACACTTCCCATAAGAAGGGTCCTCATAGTCAAATGGTCAAAATATGATACCAGCCTGATGAAAAAAAGTCTAGCCAGGACATTGCTGTAGCACCTACTGGAGAAGAATTAGAGCAACTGGGAAAGAGTCTTAACAGGTAAATGATACATATTTCCAATGCAGATTATGCAACTTTTTTTTTCTTGGTTTGATGCTGGCAAACTATTTCACTGTTGTCACTTATGTAAGGGAATCTTGAGCCAATCTCTTGTCATTCCACCTGACTGGTTCTCCTCAGTCAACAACTATAAGCGGAAAAACATTCTGCCCCCTCAGGGCATATTGGTAATGCTCTTTTCAACTCTCTTCTTGAGAACAAAAGTTGTATGTCCATTTTGAATAACAATTATATTATTCCTTCTTATTTCACTTTGAAGGTTCATATTTTAGGCTTATGTCTGAAATACCAGTTAATAAAATATTCCCACTTATAAAGTGCTGGACAATATGACCTTACTGCATGGATTCTTAACCTGCAGTCCATAAACTTGTTTTTATTGTTGCTATTTTTAATTTTAACAACTATATTTCAGTATAATTGGATTCCTTTGTAATCCTATGTATTTTATTATATGTATTTAAAAATATTATGAGAAGAGGTACATAGTTTCCACCACACTTCCAAAGGAGTCCATGACATTTAAAAAAAAATTAAGAATGCCAGTTTTATTGGGTATCTTCACTGACAGCAGAGTATGTGAAACATTTTCAGTTAAACATTAGGTGACTAAGCAGTTGATCTGGTTTCATAAGACTGATCATTGAATTCACATAATTCTATGAGGTCCTTATTTTAAAAAATGAAATGAACCACATTTTCAGCAAGAAATGAATTAGTTGTCATGCTATTTTTCTTCCTTTGCCAGAAACTGGGAAGAATACAAATATGAAAAAGAAAACCCTCAAAAATAAAGTAACATGGCAGCCTCTCTCAAAAGACAATAAAGAATATTTTGAGTCTATGATGGATTCTATGATACGGTGAGTATGCAGTCTGTGTCACTATTTTTGCTTCTGTTTTTTGTACAGCTTTATTGTTGTTCAGTCTCTTTTCAGTTGTGCCTGATTCTTTATGACCCCATTTGAGGTTTTCTTGGCAAAGATACTGAAGTCATTTGCCATTTCCTTCTCCAACTCATTCTACAGCTAAGGAAACTGAGGCAAACAGGGTTAAATGACTTGCCCAGAATCACACAGCTAGTAAGTGTCTGAGGCTAGATTTGAACTCAGGAAGATGAGTCTTCCTGACTTCAGGCTCAGTGCTCTATCCACTGTGCCACCTTGCCACCCAACTCAAATCTACAGCTGCACCTACTCAAATCAGGGCTTCTGTATCTTAGTTGATTCATTTTCAAATCTGAACTATAGCAGTTTCTCAGGAACATGTGATTTTAAAACTGACTACTCGCCAGTGCATATCACAACCTCTCTACAACTTGATTGGCAGTCCTTAAGAGGTTCTCTGACAAAAATGTTCATTACTGTGCACCCAACCTGATGACAAGCCTCTTATCATTCAAACTGGGCAGGTCTTCAGACCACAGATATATGTCCATTTTTTTTCCAGCTTGGTAGGACCCACTCGAACTTGTGCTTTAGGGTAATAGTCTTCAGCTCCCAGAATTCTCTCTACTTTATGATGAGGCATTAGAATAGGGCCTTAATGGAGAATGTATCATCATTAGATTTTCCTGAGTGATAAGTCTCTTAGTGTCTCAGAAGAATGTACACCCAAAGTTTTATCATACAAAGGAAGAGTTCACTTGTAACTTTAAGAAGACAATATGATAAAGTCATTAATTCATTATTTAAATTCTCAATAGCTTCCATTAATACTTCTGGGTTTATGTCTTTTTGTCCATAGCTTCTCTTGGGCCATTGAGATTCAGTCTGATTTATTTTATTCAGAGGTCCTCAAAGATTCCTATACTTTTATCACAGCTCTTGTAAATAACTAAAATCATATTGGAAAGTATCATTGATAGGCTTATCAGTGACTATCCTATCTTTCCATCTCAAAGCCAGCTCTCTCCCTTTACAGATGTGTTTGGACCTTGAAGCATTTCCTAAGATCTAAGTGAATTGCTAAAAACCCTTTGGAGAGCAAATCTGGCTGCTCTCTGTAGCCTTGGATGCAAAGAAAGAAATACCCTCTGGTCATTTTGGGGGTGAGGTTTTTACAATCGAAGGTTTAAACTCCATAATCTGGTAGTTAAACTGGTATCACACAATAAAATCCTGAAAATACAGCACCAATTTAATATTGGGACATCAAAAAGTCCTTAGGAAGAGGTGATTTTTAGTTAGCAGAACTGAGTTAGCTGGAAAAGAGAGAAAGCCTAGATGGAGAACCCAGTTAGAAAGAAGATGAGGTAATTCAGATATAAAATGACAAAGGAATAAACCAAAGATTTTGTCTAGAAATAGAGAGATAAGGATGAATTATCTCAGAGATTAGGAAAAAATGCACTTAGTTTGAATTACTTAATATTCAAAAGTCCACTTTTTCTTTAACTATATTTAACTTCTCTTCTAGATCAGTTTTGAGAGCTGAAATAAAAGAAAAAGAAAATACTCAAATTCATCTTAACTGCTTAAAGGAAAGGTAATAATCAGGTCATTTCAAAGGGTTAAAACAGGAAAAAAAAGATTTTGTGCATTGGTTCTCTCATCGCTAAAACCGAAAAGAAAATTAATCATATCTATGATGAAAACTAGTAATGTTCTCTTTTCCATTGTTGAAGATTTCTTCAGTTGTGTGAAACTCATAAAGTCTCCCTGGGAGACTGGAGTAGTCTCAAGGAAGTGTCCAATCTCTGTCTGAAGGAAATGGAGACTCTTGAGGCCAATGAAGAAAGTCTGGCGTTATTGCAGGTACTAAAAATATAAGTGGGAGGGCTTGGCAATATCTAGAAAGTAAGGTGAGAGATAAAAGGACTGAAAATTTATCATAAATCAGTGTGATACTCTGCCAATTTGACCTAGAAAATAGTGCTGCCCCTCCCCCCATCTTAAATAAACTTATCGTAAATTCTTTTGCAGTAAGATATCATGTATACCTGAATTTAGGCTGCAGTAGTTGAGTAATCTGGTATGATTTTTTTTTCCTCCTTTTATTCCCTTAAATATGATATTATTTTGTAATCAAATTATGGGTTATCTAATTAATGTTATAGAATTGCAGAATCTTCTTTCACTTATACTTAATATGCTAGTAGCTGCCAAAATTGACTCCAGATCATTTTTGTTTGTTTATATTACTACAGCAAACCAGTAATAGCAAATTATAGGATATATTTAATAGCTAATTCTCAGAACTAAAGTAGGCTTTGACATGTCCTTGGACTCTGACTTCTAAATTCTAGTGCTTGATCCGATTTAAGTTTTAAATGTGCTTACTTCTTCCTCAACAGCCTATCAAATAAGTGAAACATCATATATTTAGAAGCATAAAGAAACATTTTCCATTTCGTATGACTTTGAAATTTATAACCTAATTGGCAGTACAAAGTACTCCTTAGTCAATTATACACATAAATGGGAGGAAGAGAAGTTATAGATAATACAAAGTATTAGATGTCACAAAAATAATTGGTATTTGTGAGGAGTTCTTCAAAGACATATATCTTCCAATATCCTTAAGCTTCCTTACCATGGATGTAGGCCTCAGACCCAACTTTTCCTTCCCTTTTGAACTTGATTTCATTTATAACAGTCTGGGTTCCTGGGATTCACTTCTATGAATAGTAATCCACAAACTGGATATTGAAAATTTACTATGATTAATTTTGTGGTTGAGTACTATCAGAAATTCTGCTGCTATGTTCAAACAAAGGGTCCATAACTTAGAGAAGACCCTTTTACAAATAGAGTCCAAATTCAAGCCCTGGACTCACACTATCTATGGTTCTGTGACAAGTCATTTAAATTCTCTGAGTTTCAGTTTTCTCATCTGTAAAATAGGGATCATGGAATTTCTAGCTAGAAGAAACCATAGAGATCTCATCCATTTCCTCATTTTATAGGTAAGGAAAGTGAATTCAAACAGGTGATGTGACAACCACTTTCCTGCAAATAACAGTCAGAATTTGAAGACTAGTCCTGTGACTCTATAAAGTTATTGATGTTATTTGAGGAAAAGAGTGTAGGGTGGAGAGCATTTATGTTATTTTCATTTTTAATCCAAAATTTGACCATTGACTTAATTTACATGGCAAATATGGTACTAAATAAATTTTCCCTCAGTTTTGCCAGTGTTCTGAAAATATTTATCCCAGATTTTTGTTCTTCGTAAACCCCCAATTGACCTCTTCCAACAAAAAACAACATCACACAGTATATTTGCCTGGCATGACATGCAGTGGCCAAAATTATCTCATCCCAAATAATATCATGGTTTACAAACCATACTGTTTATTCATCTGTAAAATTCATTTAATAAACATTTATTAGGTACCTATTATGCATTAGGGTTATGAAATCAAATGAAAAGCAACATGGAATAATGATTAGAGGGCCAACATTTGAATCAGAACAACCTCAGTTCAAGTCCTACCTCTGATACATACTGACTGTGTGATTCCCGGGCAAGTCACTTAACCTCTTGGTGCCCTCAGGCATGTTTGTAAAACCATAAGTTGCAGAAGAGTTGCTAGTCTGTATCCCCACATCAGTGAAAGTGTCTGAACCAAAAAGAAAATGTTCTGGGATTACAAAATGAAATAAAAAGATAGACATTGCCCTCAGGTAGTTTCCAGTGTATGTGATCATAGTGGGCAAAAGAATACTTCCATTATTTATCATTATTGTTGCTGGGAAAGTTCTTTGTGAGCCTTAATGCAACATAAACATGAAATATTACAATAGTTACAATTCAGTGCCTTTGTTGTCAAGGCCATTGTATCCATATCTTGAGAGGGAAATCTATGGCATGAGTCCTGAGTGGTTTAGGAAACCATGGTTGACAGTGGTTTCTGTCAACTAAAATGCTTATCTCTTTTTTATCACATGAGTTATAAAACCCTGTATTGGGCAATACTTTGCAGTTAGCCCTAATAAACTATCATTTTATTAATTTAAACCCTTTGTTCTACATACATCTACCAATCTAATGAGCCTAAAGAATGAAATTTGGTGTGATTGTCCTTATGGAGCTCTTTTTGGCTTCTAGGGCTCATGAGTTTCTTTTCCTAGTGCTCACAAGACATGTATCTGATTAGCTTTTCTCAATTTTTAGTTAGGCGTGTTCATCAATGATAACTGGACTCTCTCTTTTTAAAAATTTGGGTAATATTGCCCATCTACAATTTTCTGTCACCTTTCCCATTCTCCAAGATTTCTCAAAGATAACTAACACTGAATCACATCTTCAAGTTCTTTATTATGCTGGGATGCAATTTATTTGAACTTAGAGCTAATTAAAATTAGCTAGGTGTTCTCTTACTATCTTTTCATTTATCTTTTTCTTCCTCATTATTATTTTTCTTGTGAGATTTGGGTTTTTTCTGGGGAGGGGAAATGTTCTTTTTTACTTTCATCAGACTTGTTTAGGAAATGTGAAGATTAGTGTAACTGAGGGATAAGGGAAGAATGTGCTGCTAAACCATGTTATTTGTTAGTTATGGCAGTTTCTGGTTCCAGATGGATTTTAAGCATTCCCCATCCAGTCCAGAAATTGAAATTGACAGATCAGGGAAGTGCTTTAACTTATTTCTTCAATTATCTGGAAAACAGATGCTTGAAAATAGAAGGCCTAAGATTGCCTTCAAATACTTGAACAGTCTGCTTGTGGAAAACGAGTTATCCTCATTCTTTGTAGTTCTTAACATGTTTCTTGATCCTCACTATATTGTAGACCTACAAAATTATCTAAATTTTCCGCTGTAACTTTAGAACTCCAGGCAGTGGAGAGCTGAAGAGGAATCTTAGGATGAGAGATATAGGATAAAAATAAATGAAGAAATCCATTTTTTATACTTATTGGTTGTAAGGAGTAAGGATATTTGGATCTTCTATAGTAAAAGTCATGTAGCCTAGTACCAGTCCTCGAACTTGCAGTTAGGAAAGATTGCCTCACTAGACAGTCATAGCCAAGGATCTGGTCCAAGACAATAGTAGCACCAACTCTGAAAATAGGTCACCTTCCATTTGTCAGCATCCTTCTGATGCTACATTTATACTTGGTACTTTTCAAGGACTGTAGCTATTAGCTGCTATAATGTAATTCTTGAAGAAAGCTACCACAGCAAGAAGCAGCATTCCTGCATATCACCTGTGTTTCTCTCTGGAAGAACCAGAACCTTTAATGCTAGCAACCATAGCATACTACTTAGACAGTTCTCCTGCAGCTTTTCAGTATGGTAGAAGATTCTTCTGTCCCCTCTATTGTATCACATTTTTTAAAAAATTTGTAATTCACAAATTTCTTCTAGTAATGTGAAGCTTGTGAAGTAGCTTATGAAGAAAGCTTCTCTTTACATGGTATTTTGCTTTGTTTTGTTTTGGATTTTTCCCCCTCTAATCTAGGAAGAAACTGAAAAAGCAGTGAAGGCCACAGAATTAATAAATGAGAATATTCAGAACCTTCAGGATAAAATTCGGATTCTTGAGAGTGAATTGGAGGAAGAAGAGGAAAAGGCTAAGCAGGTACTCATAATAAAATGTATTATAATGTATACCAAATATACAAAATGTATACATAAATACATATATGTATATGTATTATACATAACAAAATGTATATAATAAATAACAAAATGTATTATAATATCCAGGATAGTATAGGATTCTGGATCCTGAAGGAAATCACGTAAGTCAACGCAATTGATTTAAAGATGTAATTCTTGACGATAGGAGCAGTAAAAGAATAGGAATTGAGTTTGTTAAGTACTCTGACAATGTCACTCCCCTACTCAGTAAACTTGCCCCGGAATCAATCCCTTAACTTCTTTTTAGCTTTTAAACCCTTTACAACCTTATACCAGACTATCTTTGCAGCCGCCTTATATCACCCTACCAAACTGGTCTTCTCACTGTTCCTCACACTAGATATTCCCTCTCCCAATCCTGTGTCTTTGCATTGGCTGTCCTTGTCTGGGATGCTCACCCTCCTTACCTCTGCCTCACAGAATCTATCTTCCTTCAAGATGCCACTCAAGTATCACCTTCTACATGATACTGTGCTTATCTTCAGCTACTTTATACCAGTCACTTTATATTTACTTGTATGCATTCTCTTTATATTTCTTTTGTATGTGTTTTTATGCCCCTGTTGTCTCCCCAGCTGGAATATAAACTCCTTGGGAGTAGGGTTTATTTTAAATTAGTTGTTATTTATATCCATACCACCTAGCACAGTGCCTGGTATGTAGTATATTCTTACTAACTATTTGATTAATTTATGGATTGACTCTGAACCTGTTTCAAAAAAATATATATATCTTCCCTCTCTAGGTGCTTCAGTTAGATGGTACCAAGGCCCTTTCTCTTCCAGAACTCCCCAAGAAAAGTATTAAAGCCCCAATACTTCATGTAAGTATTTATTTCTCCTATTATAATTATAACCAGTTATTCTTTATATTGTGGTTTAAATGCCTTCTGTTGAAACTTTTTCTAGAAAAGGTCTGTCTTTCCTTTTCCTGGTGAATAACTACCTGTGTGGCAGTTCTTAGCTTATTCATTTCTAAAATATAATTTGATTAAGAAGAGATTTTTCTAACACATCTCCTTGTAGCAAAAGGAAAAGTGGTTTACCATGACTAGCAACCCAATTTTGGAGACATAATAGAAATTTCATAGGAGGAACTGAAAACAAAGAAATTCCTTCCCGTTTGGGAATTCATTCTGGCTTCTGTGCTCTACTGTTCTCCAGGTCAGTGATTACCAAAATGGGAAGCACAACCTCCCAGAGGGTTATGGAGTGATTCCCAGGGGTATGTGGTCTGCCAGTTGGAGGGTAGGAAGAATGCATTGCATCCTATCCTCCCTGATACAGCCATTCATGGGACTTGTCTCCAAGAAAACCACACCTACTCTTTACCCATTACAATTCAATATTGCCCCTCCTGAAGCTATGCAACACTTCCCTCCCCTCATCTTCTGAGCTGGATAACCTAACCCCTCACTATAGGCTTACAAGAGGGGAGGATTACTGATAGAGGTATGATTTTTTAAAAAAAATTAGAGACTAGTGCTCTGTCAGTCCTTATGGGAGACCTGGCCATAGGGAAAAAGAGAATAACTTGGAACGATTGATGAAAGCCAATATAAATTTAAAATCAACATTGAGGGGAAAATGAGAGATCACCATGGCATATAAAATGGCAGATATTAGAATTTAAAATAGATGTATTTGTTTTCAATAAATACTGTTTTATTTTGACACTGGAAATTTATTTGCTGTATCTCATACCAAAATCAGTTTCTTTATCTCTCTGAGCTTCAGTTTTCTCATCTATGTAAGGGATCCTTTCATCTACTAGTCTTTTCTGCCTTCTTAAAATAATGTTTAAGCATTATACAAGGCACTTTGTCTTTCAAACAGAGAAAAGTATTTGAAGCTAACTATCTTATGATATCCTAAGTCCCGAATTAGCAAATTAAGGAGAACGAAGGAGTGTCTGCATCTCTAAGGAGACAACATTTTTGTTGTTGTCTTTCATTTCACTTCCTGAGTAGTAGTTCATTCAGAATTGTTTGTGGTGGTGAAGAAATTATAAAATGATTTCCACTTTTCCTTTTGCTAGTTGGCTTCACTATTTTTTTTCTTTGATTGGATTAGTATACAGAGCAGGAGTTCTAAACCTGGGAACTTGTATCTTTTAAAAAATATATTTTGATGACTATATTTCAATATAATTGATTTTCTTTGTAGTCTTATGTATTTTGTTTTATGCATTTAAAAATATTATTCTGAAAAGGGGTCTATAGACTTCACCAGATTTCCCAAGGGGTCCTTAACACAAAAAATATCAAGAACCCCCCCCAGATAAAGATACAAACTCTTGTTTCCAGCAAAGAATGTTTATTCTCCAATCAAGACTTCTCTGCTAGAGCCATAGACAATTGCTAATGCTTTATTTTAATTTGGAAGTCCTGATAATTAAACCATTGTGATTCCTTTATTTTTTTTTTCTGAACTCAAAAATCACCAAATTGAGCATCTCCATTTATAAAGAAAAACAGAACAAGAGGATTGTACATAAAATTACAAATCTCCATTATATACAACTTGGATTTTTTTAAAGTGTATAATAAATTCAGTATGTTAGGGCCCAGACTTATATGTGTTTCTCTCTGAACCACTTACTGTTCACTTTTGTTCATGAATTGTCTTCTTTTTGTTCTTTTGCATTGTGATCACTAACTTTCCTTTGTTGTGATTTATTCTAATACAGCATTTAAAAGCTTTGTTACATTTTTAGTAAACTTGACAGAGGTGATTGTTGTTATTCATAGTAGTGCAAAATGCATTGCAGCATAAACATCTGTGGAGAAGAGAAAGTCTTTTTAATTTCTCTTTAAGAACATTAATCTATTTTGAGGTAACTTCATTTTAAATTTACCTCATTTTTTTGTCTGCATTTTTCTGCATTCTTATGCCACAGGAAGAAATTTTGAAGAGGATCCCAAATCAGAAGGATATTCTAAAGGATCTGCATGTCATGAATAATTCAACAGAGATGAAGAACATGTTAACTTTCATAAAAGAAACCTATAAGAAGCTGGATGCCTCCTGAGTTCTTGTACTGTATAATTATGGACAATTTAACATTTATAAATCAATGAAAATGATTGTTACCTTTAATGAAGTCTTTTGATATTATAGATGATAAGACCATCATGGGAATTACAAATCCCCTATTCATCACAAGCACTTTTTAAAAAATAGGCATCTCCTACCAACTTAATATCTGGACGCCCTGGATCAGAAATGACCAAGTCTGTGCTGTAGTCTCCCCATTTCACATCTTTCTGACGTGTGCCTTAGGGCCAGATACCCAAAAACTAAACTTTGTTCAGCTGTTATGGCTTTTCTGGGATCAGAGTTTCAGGTGAATGTAGCTCAGTGATTTTTAATTGAAGGACCAATCAAATAAAACAGATAGGACATGGGACAATTAAAATGTATGTTTAAGAAATGACTGAACTTTCGATGGCTGGTCACTTAGAGGAGGAAGTACCCTCTTTTTTTATTTTTAATCCCTTCTTTCAGTGCCATTTTCCTCCTCTGACAATTCCCTGGCCTTCCTCCAATGAGCTGTCTCAGTTTTCACTGATTATCCATGTTTTTGGTAAACTGGAGAAACCAAGGGATTTATAAATGACTGTATGTCAAAAGGGATGTGTAATGGCATCAGTATTTTATTTCCGTGAGCACATAAATAATGAGCCCTTTTTTCCCCTCCAGATTATCATAAAGGCATGATTGTGTCCCAGAAGACTGATTACTAAAGAAATGCATGTGTACTATGTCTCATTAGAGTATTGACTCAAAAATAACACTTCAATATCTAAAGCCTGTTTTTTTAGATAGGTTGTTTTTTTCTGTAAACAATTTTGGCTTATTGATGACAACATGCAAATATTCGTGTTGATATATCACTGAAGTGATACAGTTTAAAAGCTGTTTCAAGTAATAGTCATATAATTGACTGTCAAGTTGAAATAGGTTCTTTGGGGAAATTGGGGCATTGTCTATTGATTTTTGTTTGTCTATGAAATAAAATATTAACATGTAATTCCTTTTCTTTTTACTATGTATTTCTACATCAATTAATATAAAAGCTATATCTTATTATTTAAAATCACAAATGCCTAAAATAGGAAGAGACCTTGAAAATCTTCTAATTCCCCAATTTACAGATTAGAAAAAAGTCAAATAAATGGTTAGTAAAAGAACACTGAATTTGGAGTAAGACAAGAGCTGGATTGAATCCTGCCTACACAGTAGGTGGTAACCACAGGCAAATAGTTAAATTCTCTGAGCCTCAGTTTCCTTATCTGTAAAATGGGGTTAGTAATACCTGTAGAACTTCTTTGACAAAGTTGTGAAAATAACTTGCATTAGATACATTGTCCAGCTAAAGTTCTGAGTCTATCTGGGAACAGATAATGTAATTATGTATGACTGCAAAGCTGTAATCAAAATGTAGACATATCAGAGGAGATACAGCATGATTCTATGGGGTGTGCTACTCATGCCTCAGAGTACTACATAGAGAAGGAAATAAAAACCCACTTCAAAAAAGAACTTGACAAAAACTGCCATTGCACTTGGCACTTACTGGGAATAACTTTGGCAATTATGTAATGCATAAGATTAAACATTTCTACTGGGTCACATTTCTATTCTTCTGTTCAAATCAAGCCAACAAGCATTTATGAAGGACCTAGTATATGCCAGGTACTGTGCTAAGCCCTGGAGATAGGTAAAAAGACATACAATTATGTACAAATGATATATACAGGATAAATTAGAGATAATCATAGAGAAGGCAGTAGCATTTAGGAAGATTGGGAAAGGCTGAATTTGCAGAAGGTGAGTTTATGAGAGTTCAAAGAAGCCAGGAAGTCTAGACTAGGAAGGAGATAATATTTGGCATGGGGTACAGCCAATGAAAGTGGCAGAATTGGGAGATGAAGTGTCATGGGCAATTAACAGCCAGGAGGCCAGTATCATTGGATCTTAGAGTGCTGATGGGGAAATCAAGTATAAAAGTATAGGAAAGGAAAGAAGGGGCCAGGTTTTGAAAACCTTTAAAAGCAAGCAGCGTTTTATATTTGATTCTGAAAGTAATGGAAGGTCACTGAAGTTTTAACTAGCATGGTACGCTTCTACAAAGTCTCATTAGAGAATCAACCCATCCAAATAATGAAAACTGTAGCATTAACCTTAGCCTTAGTATTCTGTATACTAGAGACAAATCTTCAGCCTTGCCAAGGGAACACCTCCAACTTTAATCCTTTACTGTGGTGTTGTACAAGGCATCCTAAGTACTAGTTTGTTGTGGTAACAAACAATTAACAAAATGGGTTTATATTTTATCTTCTATTCCATACTACATCTTTTCCTCCCCCCTCAAAAAAAATAGCTTGTAGAGTAAACCCATTGGAGATATGTTCAACATTTTGATGTTTATATGTAGATGAGTGTAAACTTTTTTTTAATCAAATGCAATGATATATGTAAAATGTTTTGCAAACCTTAAAATGTTATATGAATATCAGAAACAGCCAAATAGATTTGACTTGTAGCACACTACACCATAAATGAATTAATGAATGAATGAGCATTTATTAAGGCCATAATATGTTCCAAAAATTGTACTAAGTGCTAAGAATAAAAATAGAAAAGCAAGACAGTAAGGGGCTTACATTCTAATTAGAGAAGATAACACAAGGGAATAGTGGCCAAGAAGGAGTGTTTTGGGAAATCGCAGGGATACTAAGATCCAGAGAAGAGTTGATGACCTTTCTAGTAGCAATAGCAGTATTGATTTGATTTGATTTGATTATAGTTCCAGGGCAAGGGGACTGGGTGATGGGTTGATGAGGCTATGGGTTCAAGGCAGATGATGGTAAGATGATCAAGAGAGAATGTGGGGGGCGGAGCCAAGATGGTGACTGAAAGCAGCAACTTGCTTGAGCTCTCCCCCAAACCCCTCCAAATACCTGTAAAAAATGGCTCTAAACAAATTCTACAGCAGCAGAACCCACAAAAAGAGTGAAACAAATTTCCAGCTCACGACAACCTGGATAGTTGATTGGAAAGGTCTATTTTGCCAGGCTGAGAGAGAAACACACACAGTTCAGTGTGGGCCACACAGGCAAAGACCAGGCCTTAGTAAACCTGGAGCGGCCCTCAGAGGACTGAATCACAGGCAGCGGTTTCCAAACCCATGAAGGCCAAAGACAACTTAGAAGGTCAGAAGGAAAAGTCTGTGACTGCGATGAGAGAGAAGCCAGGTCCCAGCCCCAGTCCTTGTGCAGCCCTGGGGCCATGGCTGCTTCTGCAACTCTCAGCCCACAGACAGGGGGAATCAAGTGGCTGATAGAGAGGAATTGCAGGGATCTCTTTGCTGGTTCTGAGGCAGGATTCTCTTGCTTTGCCCTTGCTTGGATCTGTGTCACAGGTCTGGGTGGCGATCCTGGGGTGAGGAGGAGCACTGGCGTGGTGGAGCTTGTGGTGGCGGTGGAGAGGGAATCCTCCTCACAGTTCCAAGGCAGAAAAGAGTACTTGTGTTCACTCACAGACCAGAACCTAGGCCAGGAAAGGAGTAAACACCTCGCCCTTGATCGTACCACCTTGGAAGAACTGAAAATCTACAGGTCCCTAGAAGTATCTCAGAAAACAGCTGCACAAAACTCCTGAAGCTTGGGACAATACATTCTCCACAATGGAGGTAGACCCCTACCTTAACAAAGAGTTTAAAACTCAAGTAATTGGCTGGGATCATGAGCAAACAGCACAGAAAAAGTCAGACCATAGAATCTTACTTTGGTGACAAGAACATACAACCAGAAGAAAACAAGTCCTAAAGCCTCCAATCCCCCACCATGGAAGAGCTCAAAAATATTTTTGAGAAGCAATAAGAGAAGCAGAGTAAAAACTGGGAAGAGAAATGAGAGTGATGCAAGAAAATCATGAGATCCAAAAAATACTGAAGAAAATAACACCTTAAAAAATAACCTAACCCAAATGGCAAAAGAGGCCCTAAAAACCAATGAGGAGAAGAATGCCTTAAAAAGCAGAATTGGCCAAATGGAAAAGGAAGTCCAAAAGCTCACTGAAGAAAATACTTCCTTAAAAATTAGAATGGAGTAATTGGAAGCTAGTGACTTTATGAGAAATCAAAACATTGTAAAACAAAACCCAAAGGATGAAAAAATAGAAGACAATGTGAAATATCTCATTGGAAAAACAACTGACCTGGAAAATAGATCCAGGAGAGAGAATTTAAAAATTATTGGACTATCTGAAAGCCATGATCAAAAAAAGAGCCTAGACATCATCTTTCAAGAAATTATCAAGGAAAACTGCCCTGATATTCTAGAACCAGAGGGTAAAATAGAAATGGAAAGACTCTACCAATCACCTCCTGAAGGGATCCCCAAAGGAAAACTCCTAGGAATATTGTAGCCAAATTCCAGAGTTCCCAGGTCAAGGAGAAAATATTGTAAGCAGCCAGAAAGAAACAATTCAAATATTGTGGAAACACAATCAGGATAACATGAAATCTAGCAGTTTCTACATTAAAGGACTGCAGGGCATGGCATATAATATTCTGGAGGTCAAAGGAGCTAGGATTAAAACAAAGAATCACCTACCCAGCAAAACTGAGTATAATCCTTGAGGGGGGAAAATTGACATTCAGTGAAATAGAGGACTTTCAAGCATTCTTGACAAAAAGATCAGAGCTGAATAGGAAATTTGACTCTCAAATATAAGACTCAAGAGAAGCATGAAGTGGTAAACAGAAAAAGAGGAATCATAAGGGACTTATTAAGGTTGAACTGTTTACATTCCTACATGGAAAGATGATATTTGTAACTCATGAGACCTTTGTCAGTATTAGGGTAGTTGGAGGGAAAAAAATATATAGATAGATAGGTAGATAGATGGCACAGGGTGAGTTGAAGATGAAGGGGTGATATCTGAAAATTAAGGGGTGAGAGAGAATTATACTGGGAGAAGGAAAGAGGGAGAGGTAGAATGGGATAAATTATCTCACATGAAACAGACAAGAAAACACTTTACAGTGGATGGGAAGTGGGGAAAGGTGAGAGGAAATGAGTGAATCTTATTCTCATTGGATTTGGCCTCAGGAAGAAATAATATACACACTCAATTGGGTATGGAAATCTATCTTACCCTACAGGAAAATAGGTTGGGAATGGGATAAGAGAGAAGGGGGATGATAGAGGGGAGGGCAGATTGGGGGAGTGGGTAATCAGAAGCAAACACTTCTGAGGAGGGACAGGGTCAAAAGAGAGAATAGAATAAATTGGGGTTGGTATAGGATGAAGGGAAATATAGTTAGTTTTCCACAATATGACTACTAAGGAAGTGTTTTGCATGACTACACATGTATAACCTGTACCAAGTTGCTTGCCTTTTCAATGGGAGTGGGTGGGGAGGGAGGAAGGGAGAAAATTTGGAACCCAAAGTTTTAAAAACAAGTGTTAAAAATTGTTTTCACATGCAACTGGGAAATAGGATATACAGGCAATGGGGTATAGAAGTCTATCCTGCCCTACAGGAAAACAGAAGGAAAGGAGGATAGGGGGGGGGGGGACAAGCAGAGATAGAAGGGAGGGCAGATTGGGGGAAGGGGTATTCAGACTGCATGCTGTCTTGGGGTTGGGGGAGGGACAAGTTGGGGAGAAAATTTGGAACTCAAAATCTTTGGAAGTGAACGTTAAAAACTAAAACAAGAAAAGAAAAGATTTGTTTTAATAAAAATAAACTGTACTCCATAATCTTAAAAGAAAAAAAGAGAGAATGTGAAGTATGGTTGAGTCTTGCTAGATCTGGTGAACCATGTCATATCTTCAGACTGCAAAAGTAGCAGATTTCTGCACAATGTTGGAGCTATTACTAGGAATTTTGGCACCTGGGCAAATTTATCTGAGTTAGAAGGGACAGGGTGAGATGAGAAAACTAATTTTTGACTAGCAAACTTCTCTGAATCTGTGAGTCAGGGTTGGAGGACACCTACATTAAAACTTTTTCCCCTGC